CCCCCCGGCGATATATTGTCGAGAGTTATCCTGCGTCTTTCTCCTCCTCCTGCCCACGTACTGTTTTCCTCCTTCCCTGGACATGTGTTATCATCTGTAGTACTGCTATCCTCCCTTCCCTGGCCATGCGTTAGATGTACCAGAGGTATTTTGTCCCTTCCACCCCGACATATCTCCTCCTCTGGTCCGGCAAAGCGTCACTCAATCCCTTTTCAGACCCTGTGTTACATATACCGGCAGTCACCCGACCCTGTTTAACACTCTTCTCTACTGATTCTATAATGCGTCCCTCCCTCCCCTGGTCCTGTGTTACATGTACAAGCGGTGCTGTGTCCCTCCCATCCGACACTGCTCATCCCTTGGTCCTGTACTGTGCCCCTCCCACCCGGACACTGTCCCTTCCCTGGTTCTAAACTGCGCCCTCCCTTCCCTGGTCCTAAACTGCGTTCCTCCCTCCTGGACCTGTGTTACACGTACCAGCGGTATTGTGTCCCTCCCCTCCGATATTTCTCGTCCCCGGTACTCCACTGCGTCCCTCTCCCCCTGGACATGTCTTACACATACCCGCGGTGCTGCGCCCATCCAACCCCGATACCTCTTCTCTCTTGGTCCCTCAACATCTGTTATCACCCACATGCTGATTCCGCGATACAGTGTACCAGAACAGGCCATTACACCGCGAGATCCCTATCCATGGCTATGACAGACGAACTCCACACTTCAGTAGATAATTATCGGGAATTTCGAAAACGTTTATGTTTAATTATCCCACTGAGTAGGCCTACTTTGTGGTCTATGTTACAAGTCTTTGATAAATGTCAGTTCAAACATTTAAGTAATATTTAATGTCTATTTTAGTACGATAGGAATCCCAAACCATGCTGATCATATGCTTCTAAGTCGTTTATTTTAATTTTGCTACTGCACAGCTTTAACCCAACCCCAACAACTATAAGGGGTCAGCTTAAATACATACAGTTAATAACAATATGCGCCAGGGATTTTTTTACATTTTATCACAAGCAAGTTAATATACGGGAAATCATAGTCAAACATTGTAAAACTGTTTAGTGAGTTACTTTTAATTTGTTACAGCTAAAAGAAGGATCCTTTTTCTTTTAAAAGTCTTCTATATGCACGTACAATGTATTCTCCTTCCGCGGACATGATCTCCGTTTCCTCCAAAAACTTATGCCATTTCAGAGTTTCAAAATTTTTGGCAGTCATCGTGCCACTTTTTTTAATATCAATGAGGTTGAGGTCAGCGCGTGCCGAAACATGCAGTATTGGTTGGTTTAGCGAAAAAATGGCTGCGCTTCCAGCCAATCACACCACGGGTCTCGGCATACGCTGACCTCAACTTCTTTCATACCAAAAAAAGTGGCACGTTTACTGCGAAAAACTTTGAAACTCTGAAATGGCGTGAGTTTTTGGAGGAAACGGAGATAATGTCCGCGGAAGGAGAATACATTTTACGTACATATATAGAAGACTTTTAAAAGAAAAAGTATCCGTCTTTCCAACGGTACTAATCATTTTCCCGTAGATCAACTAGAAATGTTGTTTTTGATGCAAGAAAGTTAGGTAGGGTCGACTTTTCGACAACGCGAGCTTTCTGCCCTTCTCGTATTATTACTCTGAACACCTTAGTTTAGGTCAAAATATAGCTGTAACAAATTCTCATGTCCCTGTGTTTTGATCAACTACGTCAGACAAATGGTTCGGTAATATTTACAACGTAAAACTACCTATCGAGGCACAAATATGTTAACACCCAATATATAGAAAGGAAAACACATACAGACATTTATTCGTATATCAAATACTCACATGTTCGTGCCAGAAGCCTACTGTGTGTAACAGCTCGTGAATGGCTGTTCCGATCTCCCGTTCACACCCCCTGCCTAGACTTAATTTCTGTTCACCTCCCTGACGCCCGACACTGGACCAACACCTGTAAGGATCAAGGACACACATCAAGATCATGTTTTGTAGAGCAAGTTGTATTATCTTAAATAATCAGAAAAATGACGTTTTTCATTTTGAAATATTGTTTTGTATATAAAACAATCTATATAATGTTATTACCATGCAATGTGTGTACCTACCCAGGTTCACTTATGATGCGCACGTAATCTTTGGTGTCTTTTGTCCTTTTCTTGAACTGAATACATGTGCGTTGACTGATGTGTTTCATGGCGCGCTTGGCTGCTCTCTTCGCAAGGGGGTCTACAAATACATACATGTACATAAACATTTATGACTTACTGAAAAGGAAATTCAACATACATTTTTGTTACTTTTATGCGTTTGTTGCAGGTCTGTTTGATTACTTTTTATACGTGCTCGTCATTTTCCTCTCTGTCTACAAACTAAATAAGCGCCCAAAAATGACAATGACCTAACCGATAGGTTTATGTTAAAATATATACGTATGAAATATTCTCGAATTTACCGTCCAAAAGGACGATAAATTAATTAATTTTAAATGCTTCCTAAGAGGTCAATAAGTACGAGAGTCACAGGTTTTTCATCGATGAGTTTAACAGTATCATTGCTGTCCTCGAGCTCGTAAACCGCCATTTCCGGATACCACGAGCGCAGTGATTATTTCCGGTGTGGTTAGTAGGGCGATTCCAGGCGTGTCACGTCACTTATATAAAATAGGTCCACCAAGGAAACAACAAAGATGGTGTCGGTGATATGGGTGTACATTCCGTTTGTGAACAGAGCGTGAAATACACGTATATCATGTAGGTTTTATAGTTTTGTATTATAACGCCTAAATTACTAGCCGTTTGACACACAACAGACCAGTATCGGAGTAGATGTATTGTTGTTATGTAGACCATTATCCACACTCTGTAAATTATCTATCCCGTCAGAAATGATTGCGATGATAAAAATGACATTTTATTGAAAACAGTTGTGCTCACGGAAGAAGAATTTTGATAAGTTTACACACACAACCCAAAAGAGTACTTTGTCCGGGTCATTGGGATGCTGAACTTAGTCACAGTTTTAATAAGCCGAGAACACCTTAATGGTTATAAACGGTAATGTTTCCTACGTCTAAGTTTCAGTCATTGCGTTTTTCAAAATGGACTCGCATTGTGTTTAAATATCCCTTCCGTTTGAGATATTAGACTGAAATAAACAGCTAACCGATTTTGGGAAAATGTCAAATCAGTCTCTTGTTCGCCTTGTTCAAGTGGGAAAAGAGCGAAAAAAGCCGGTTTTTATTCATAAAAAAACTCGTCATCTTTGATGTTTTTTTATCCTTTGTCTTATTTCAAAGGTTGTTTTAACGGCAATAAACCTTATTTGTTGTTAACCAAAATCTTAGTAACTCAGTTCTACAGTAACTGGAAAAGTTACCAGTAAAGCTTACTAATACTTACTTATTCCACTGTCAAACAGGAAATACACAATGCCATCCTTCCACAAACTGTCGCGGTTCCGGACCGTGGCTCGCTTCGTTCGACGCCCTTGGCCCGAACCGAATATAATTTGTTCCGAGTACGGGTCCAGGACAATGTCTCCATTGTAAAACACACTCCCGCCTAAAAACAAAATAAATGTTCCGAAATTAGTCTAGCAGACTATCTGGAGTATAAGATTTCTAAAAGTATCGATACATTGAACTTGTTCGACAGGTGATAGTGACGTCATCATGTGACGACATACTTACCGGTACCTCTCGGGCGTTTTGGCGGATCTTCTCCACCTTCGTCAGACGAGACGCATAAAGATGGTGGACAGACATCTGTGAAAAGAACGGAAAGACATTTACATGTATGGTGAGCGACAAATAACTTATAACAGTTGGACCTCCTGAATCCGTACCTTTATTGTCTTATTATAAATCAAGACATGTTACTTGTACATGTAATATATTTCTTGAACATAAACCTTGTGCGTATTACACAGAAGAGCCTGTTTATACTGTTTATGATTTAGGTATGATAAAAGTCACGGACAATATGTTGATTTGGGATTAAGGTGTTTAGATTGCGTAATCACATTCTATAACAACTTCACGTTTCTATGGTCTTATCAATGAATTAGTCATAAGAAATATGACGTCAATGTGTGACTGTGATTGATCAGTAATACAGGTAAAACATATACACTGGTCACGTGACAACTCGCAGGTAAGAGAATGTATTTCCGTGGAATGACATGAACATAGTTGTAGAGTTGTATACATTTAGGGATGGGACAAGCATGTTTTTTTATATCTCACAAGGACAGAGGATAGAAATGCTCAATTCAGTTGATTTTATCACACATTTCTACAACACTTTATACAAATAGTTGTTTTTAAGTGGGATAAAGAACGTGTTAATAGGTACTGTAAAAAGTTAGATATCTTCTATACCGATAGTTTAAAGTCGGGTGTTAGTGGACTCGGAGATCGCGATGAATTTTTGACCATGGTACAGCAGCATTTTAACCGCTAATGTGTATATTGTTACTCAGATATACATGATCATATCGAGTGACGAACACAGCAAAAAACATCCGAGGACAGTCAGTGAGTAAACTAAACGGGAAAGCGTAATTAAAACGTTGGCAGCATATATTGAGAAATCATCTTTCTATGCCATACTTAAGTGTGATTTGGTCCCGTTGGCCTATAAACACAATCTTATGTTTCTAACAATTCATCAACCATGCTTGACCATTGTGTATATAAGTTAGGAACCGGTTATCTTTGACACATGTGACGGACCGACATAAATGCCAGTAAGCAATGCTACATTCGTGTTCAAATTTGTGTTTGTGTTTCGTATCAAAATGTCATGGGTCAAGATATGTTGACCCCATCGTTGGACCACTTGTCTAAACACTGAACTAGGACAACCGCGGACGCCATGTGCTTATACAAAGTGGGGGTCAATATTTGTCTGATACGAGAACACATTGTGTTATATATCACTGAGGATAAATCACTCAAATCACAAGTCGTATGTTCGTCCCTCAATCATGACATACCCCGCTATTGAGAGTAATATACATAAGTGCAAAGAAATATGTTTACAAAAGGGATGTAAATTGTTGGATTTTAAAAGATCTGATATTGTATTTTGATAAATTATAGGGTTTCATGGAGTTTTAGTTCATAGAAAGTATAAATAGAGCTTATACCATTGAACAGAGCTTACCCTTATATAGAAGATATCAACAGACCTTACCCTTATATAGAAGTTTCCAACAGAGCCTACCCGTATAAAGAAAGTATCAATAGAGCTTACCCTTATATAGAAGATATCAACAGAGCTTACCCTTATATAGAAATTATCAATAGAGCTTACCCTTATATAGAAGATATCAACAGACCTTACCCTTATATAGAAGTTTCCAACAGAGCCTACCCGTATATAGAAAGTATCAATAGAGCGTACCCGTATATAGAAAGTATCAATAGAGCTTACCCTTATATAGAAGATATCAACAAAGCTTACCTTTATATAGAAGTTTCCAACAGAGCCTACCCTTATATGGAAGTTTCCAACGGAGCTTACCCTTATATAGAAGTTTCCAACGGAGACTACCCTTATGAAGAAGTTTCCAACGGAGCTTACCCTTATATGGAAGTCTCCAACAGAGCCTACCCTTATATAGAAATTATCAATAGAGCTTACCCTTATATAGAAGATATCAACAGAGCTTACCCTTATATAGAAGTTTCCAACAGAGCTTACCCTTATATAGAAAGTATCAATAGAGCCTACCCTTATATAGAAATTATCAATAGAGCTTACCCTTATATAGAAGATATCAACAGAGCTTACCCTTATATAGAAGTTTCCAACAGAGCTTACCCTTATATAGAAAGTATCAATAGAGCGTACCCTTATATAGAAAGTATCAATAGAGCTTACCCTTATATAGAAGATATCAACAGAGCTTACCCTTATATAGAAGTTTCCAACAGAGCTTACCCTTATATAGAAAGTATCAATAGAGCGTACCCTTATATAGAAAGTATCAATAGAGCTTACCCTTATATAGAAGATATCAACAGAGCTTACCCTTATATAGAAGTTTCCAACAGAGCTTACCCTTATATAGAAAGTATCAATAGAGCGTACCCTTATATAGAAAGTATCAATAGAGCTTACCCTTATATAGAAGATATCAACAGAGCTTACCCTTATATAGAAGTTTCCAACAGAGCTTACCCTTATATAGAAAGTATCAATAGAGCGTACCCTTATATAGAAAGTATCAATAGAGCTTACCCTTATATAGAAGATATCAACAGAGCTTACCCTTATATAGAAGTTTCCAACAGAGCTTACCCTTATATAGAAAGTATCAATAGAGCGTACCCTTATATAGAAAGTATCAATAGAGCTTACCCTTATATAGAAGATATCAACAGAGCTTACCCTTATATAGAAGTTTCCAACAGAGCTTACCCGTATATAGAAAGTATCAATAGAGCGTACCCTTATATAGAAAGTATCAATAGAGCTTACCCTTATATAGAAGATATCAACAAAGCTTACCTTTATATAGAAGTTTCCAACAGAGCCTACCCTGATATAGAAGTTTCCAACGGAGCTTACCCTTATATAGAAGTTTCCAACAGAGCCTACCCGTATATAGAAAGTATCAATAGAGCGTACCCTTATATAGAAAGTATCAATAGAGCTTACCCTTATATAGAAGATATCAACAAAGCTTACCTTTATATAGAAGTTTCCAACAGAGCCTACCCTGATATAGAAGTTTCCAACGGAGCTTACCCTTATATAGAAGTTTCCAACGGAGACTACCCTTATAAAGAAGTTTCCAACGGAGCTTACCCTTATAAAGAAGTTTCCAACGGAGCTTACCCTTATAAAGAAGTTTCCAACAGAGATTACTCTTATATAGAAGTTTCCAACAGAGCTTACCCTTATAAAGAAGTTTCCAACGGAGCTTACCCTTATAAAGAAGTTTCCAACGGAGCTTACCCTTATATGGAAGTCTCCAACAGAGCTTACTCTTATATAGAAGTTTCCAACAGAGCTTACCCTTATATAGAAGTTTCCAACAGAGCCTAACCTTATATAGAAATTATCAACAGAGCTTACCCTTATATAGAAGTTTCCAACAGAGCTTACTCTTATATAGAAGTTTCCAACAGAGCTTACCCTTATAAAGAAGTTTCCAACGGAGCTTACCCTTATAAAGAAGTTTCCAACGGAGCTTACCCTTAAATAGAAGTTATCAATAGAGCTTACCCTTAAATAGAAGTTATCAATAGAGCTTACCCTTATATAGAAATTATCAATAGAGCCTACCCTTATATAGAGGTTTCCAACAGAGCCTACCCTTATAAAGAAGTTTCCAACAGAGCTTACCCTTATTTAGAAGTTTTCAGTATGACTAACTTGTCCTTGCTAATTAAAACTTAATTGTTGGTTCGGTTTCGTAAGAAATTCCACACCGAGCTATTTACAGTTTAATGGTTTCTTTATGACAGATCCATTCGACATAGTCAGGGATGGACTAACTTTACTTTCAATAATGTGCCTTGCTCCATTTTCTCTTCTATAAAACTCATCAAGGGGCCATCAGAGCATGTCTCCTTTAGACAGGGGTTAATAAGGTATGACATACGTCAAACCAGTCCCTCACTAGTACAGGTGTCGTAAAGCAGCCAGTTACAGTGACAGGTGACAGCAATTTAAAATTTTTGACTTTGCGAGAAATGTTCATTTAGAAACCTCCATTATAATAGAATGTTGATAAATGAGATTCCGTGCCTTCAGTCTGGATCAGATGGTACGGGTGTTTGATTTATACGCCGTCTTTTAAAAGATTCTTAATACATTTCAAAATATGGAAAGGTTTATACCGAGCCACTAGAAACATAGTAACCATGTTGACAGTTTGGTTTTGCTGTTTAATGTTCTATTAACAATCTAGGTCATTTATGGACGTGTCTCCATGTGTGTAATGAATGCGTGTGTGCTGGAGGCAGGGTATGTTGGTGTAATTGTCTCCTTACCATAGCGCCGATCTGATGCCGACTTTAGAGTGCTACCTCACTGAAACACCATGCCGAAGGTACCCAACACAGCACCGGTCACATCATAGTGACAACGGGTTAACCACTTGTATTGTTGGGATTATCCTAACTACTGAACGCAAAGCAGGTGTATAACAACTACCATTTTAAGAACTTAGGTATGTCCCGGCCTGGGGACAGAACCCACTGCCTTCCCCACTTAGGCGAACGTCGTACAGGGTTATTGCCGAATACATGCGAAAGTATTTAAAGCATTTTAAAAATACATTCAAGTCGTTAGTTGTTTGCAGTAACGTATTAAACGCTACGGTATTCTCTTTAGTAAACAGATCAGTATCGACCTGGCCTACACTGAAATGTGATTCACAGTGATGATAGCTCTTACACAGCACGCAACAGGGCCCTTTCCCTAATATGTCATCTTGTATGTTAAGAATTCGTATCTGCACATCTTGGGCAGAAAACATCCCTGAGCGCACGTCGTCTTTTATATACAAAAGACAACTGTCCTTTGTACGTACTTCTATCATTACTCAGCAAAAACTGCAGGTGCTCCGTATCTTAAACACGCTGTATAATGAGCTGGTATACAATCTCTATCTAATAAGACTTAAATCCAATTATCACTATTTGAATAGAGACTTCCCCGGGTGAATACTCTGTATACATATGACCTCTTTATTTATGATAAGGTGCACAAGCGTAATTGAGTCATTCAGATATTTAATGATGAACGGCAATTTGAAAGAGAAATTGCTGAGTTATAAATAGGTAAGTACACAGTTATATATAAAAGTTAAGTCGTATTTCAATCTGACCAAACATTTTATAGAAATCTCCAAAGTGGCTATACACAAGCACTAACCTTAGCATTAGAAAGAGACGACCGCAATAATTCAACTAGGTTAAGATGTATTAAGCAGCCCTTCAATAAACTATAAATATGACCATCATTATACATACTACTATTGAGCTGCCAGAAATCCCAGTGCTTGGACCGCCTCTGTCGGACATGTACGAATATTCTGGCTGTCGGTTTGTTATGGTCCACTTCCGGAACGGTCAGTGGTGCTGTAGTTACCGGAAGTGACATCCAAAATGTTACATACAAACATCCCCACACTAAAGTGTGCAAGTTTCTCCCGCCTTTACCAAACATCTTCTAATGGCCGGCTGGGCAAGTTTTTTAATGTCGTAAGTAGTGCTTCCACTAATGGGTTTAACACGCGAACCGCTGCACTGGAGCACGACTGGCGACTGGTCTGTACCCTGTTTTACGAGTATTTCCAGGCCTAGTTCTATAACCTATTACACGCACATTAATGTTATATCTACAAAAGTGTAACACTTATCTCAACACTGGTTGTTTACCTTATCTGAGATATAAACCAAATATCAAAGTGAATCCCTATAGCCGTATATATAGCTGGTGTGGCTCTGTTCCGTGTTCCTTGTCCTGACGCTAGTGTCAACCCGATCCGTTCGAGTCGGAATGACTGTTACATTGAATCACACGTGTTTATATAGACGGAACCGGTGTACACAAAAAACTGGAGTAGCATTGTTATGTGGATTTCCAGTCTCTTTACGTCATGTTTTCACCTGTATATTTTTATGTGAGTGTGAGTTTACGGACGAACTTCAATGACCACAGATTTATCATTGGGGAAACATTAAGTATATTCGGGGTCAAGAGGTCAACTTGGTTCATGTGGGAGGCTTGGAGATATTGTCATTGGGTTGAAAAATAACAGGGGTTGTCAATCAAGAAAGAATATAGACACTACAATAGGAGTATATGTTTAAGTGTATCGGGCCCATTCACAAAACGTTAGTGAAGAAAGGACCTATATTAGTTTATAATCCCCGGACAAGCTTTAACACCTGAAGGGAAACGATACAGATTTAAATAAACATTAAACCTCTTACATTGTCAATGTTCGGTTTGTATCCATGAACATAGAATAGATACATTCTGTTAAACTATCTTACATATAAAGTTCCGTCGACAGAAGCGGAAATTATGACAAATTAAAATTGATTCAATTACTGTAATGACCTGTAATAGGTTTCCATTACCCTGTTCCAATTAGGTGGCTGTAATAACAAAGAAATCTCACCCCAGACTTAGCTTCGTATACAAAAATCGCTTAACCACATAGAAAAAGCTGAGTTGTTATCGAATTATTCGTTACTCAGTCAATCATTTTCTATATGCCTAACCTTGTCATTCGTGGCTTATACTGTATTTACATGTACATACGGAAAAACTGCATTGGGTTTGCCGTTTTATTAGTTTATTACGAGTTAGACGTAAGCTCCAATGATAACACAGAAACGCTTGAAATGTGAAGGTATCCAAATAGGAAAAGTCAAACATTTCGTTTAGAAAGGTATTGTAAAATGTTGGTAAAACATCATTCGACTAAGTTTAATATGACTTTATATGAACCTTTGCGTGTTCTCACATAGTCCAGAGTTTAAGCGCCTTCTTTACCAATAACGCGGCCTTGACACAAGTGGGTGTCTGTTTTGACAATTACAATACGCACGTGTCTGAATACCTTTACTTAATTAGTATACCTCACATGCTGCTCTTACGCGATCATGAGAAAGAGGAAGCCGTTCGTGACGTCACCGGACAATTTACGTTAAAAGACCGTCGCCTTCTCTGCTAACGTAAACACTAAGGAGAGAAGTACGGTCTCTTGAAGCATCAACTGCCTAACAAACCCTATACCACACCTATCGTTGTAGATAACGCTCGACCTTGGTCAAACACGGTGATAAAGGTGTCTCACGATTCTACGGGATTTTTTTTGGAAATCTTCAGAATTCGGCGTCTAGTGTTGATATTTAGCTTTGCGCAGTCAATGGTATTAGTTTTAAGTTTACAAAGGACTGCATGGTCCTAAATGACCCTGGTTATGTACAAACATTCATTTATTTATTATCAACATGCAATATTCAATGGAAACCAAGCGTCCAATAAATCCGGATTATCGGTGATCTTTACCAACAAGGTTCCGCTCTCCACGTTTTCAACCAGAAAACCCGATGCGTTTTATGTGTTCGTTTGATGGTGTCCACTTAAGTTCTGACTGATCGGGACCAGTGCCAGTTATATGATTGAGCACTGACTGACCAAGACGAGTAATAGCTATATCCATATTTGACCTATTGACCAAATGAGTTTAAATAATGATAAGTGATGTTTACCTACGGACTATAACGAAGGTAGGTACAATAAATCCCTGTATATAGACCAGTACAGACGGACATTGGAGGATCATTTTAATAGAGACATGATACACATACGTTATTGGTTCTGGTGGGGACGTGGGTTCCGGACATTCCTCGAAAGTCCCGAACGACAGATAAAACATACACATCTTGTTCTTGGCTGGCACTAACACTGCATTTAATATGAGTATGCATGCTCATTGTTTAGCAAACAAAGGTCTCGAACAGAGATATGGGAGTGGCACATTGTTGATGTGTTTAATGATTTTATTTCACTCTACATTGGTCATATGACGACGTACGCCAAGAGGCACCTTGGAAGTACAGCAATAGGTAGAGTAAGGACATATATATGTCGTACGACTACGGGAGACGACAGGAATAGAGTAGAAACATATATATGTGGTACGACTACGGGAGACGACAGGAATAGAGTAAGGACATATATATGTCGCACGACTACGGGAGACGAAAGGAATAGAGTAAGGACATATAGATGTGGAGGGACTACGGGAGACGACATGAATAGAGTAAGGACATGTATATGTCGTACGACTAAGGGAGACGACAGGAATAGAGTAGAAACCTATATATGTGGTACGACTACGGGAGAAGACAGGAATAGAGTAAGGAAATCGATATTTCGTACGACTACGGGAGGCGACAGGAATATAGTAAGGACATATATATATCGTACGACTACGGGAGGCGACAGGAATAGCGTAAGGACATATATATGTAATACGACTTCGGGAGGCGACAGGAATATAGTAAGGACATATATATGGCGTACGAGTACTGGAGACGACAGGAATAAAGTAAGGACATATATATGTCGTACGACTACGGGAGACGACAGGAATGAAGTAAGGACATATATATGTTGTACGACAACGGGAGACGACAGGAACACCATAGGAAGCATAGCAACAAAGAAGAAAAACAACTCATAGGTCTTGTGACTACAGGTGCCAAGAATAGCACCACGGAAAATATGGCAATTTTTAATGAAAATTATAGCCTCACTAAGGCCATAGGACAGTACGACAAGGGAGACAACTTGTTTTTCTACAAGGACCCTTTCAATAGTCTCGTCGTTCATGTTTTTACACATTTTTATACAACTCCTAGGTAAAAACGTACGGGAAGACTATTATATCCTAAGACAAAGTGAATATTGCTGAATGGAAGTGACTAGAGTGTAATAACCTCGAGCGCACACTGACCAGGTGTTGAGACCACTGACCTGTTCGTTTGATAAACTAATTCACACCTCACATAATACTCACGTTTGGCTGAAATTTCTTTTTCATACTACTCTTAAAAGTTCTCCGAAATACATCTAAAATACCTATGTGCTTTAAAGCTGCTCCGATTGGTTGGATTCAAAAGAACCTTCTAAACTGAACTTGTATTGTTGCTCAGGGATTGTGCAGTATTCGGCATTAGAGCTTGCGATTCAGCTACCTAGGATGAGGTCGCTATAAAACGCATTTTCGTTTCGTATGCATTTTTCTACAGGTTAGAATAGGTTAATTACTCCAAAATATAATGAACAACAGTTCCTTCCTTTTAATTCATAAATTTAATCAGACAACTCTAGATAATGTGAATAAACATGATAGCAGCGCATCTTTATCATGTGGATTAGTTTGGTTTGGTTTAATTTTGTTTAACGTCCTATTAACAGCTAAGGTCATTTAAGGACGTGCTTCCATGTGTGTAGTGTATGCGTGTGAATATGCATGAGACATGGTATGTTGGTGTGCTTGCCTCCTTGTGATAACGCGGATCTGATGGCAACTTTATAGTGCTATCTCACTGAAATACCATGTCGGAGGCACCAAGCACAGCATTCCGCCCGGTCACATTATACTGACAACGGGTGAACCAGTTGTTGTCATTCCCCTTAATGCTGAACGTTAAGCAGGGAATAACAACTACCATTTTTAAGGACTTTGGTATGTTACGGCCTGGGACAGAACCCATTACCTTCCTCACCTGGGCGAACACTCAACATTAAAGTCAAATGTGAGGTGTTGCCAAGCAAGGCGCTAGCAAATAAAAGGTTGTTAAAAGTAGAAAGAAAGATAAAGATTCCAAACATTGCAATGGGTGCAGCAGATTTATTTTTGTCGCTTTGTGTCCACGAATAGAGGACACCAATGCAAAACCCCAATTCTGCAGGGGGTTCCCCCATTAGTCGCCTCTTACGATACATTCAGTGGGTAACAGCAGGTGTATTCTTTTCCCGATTCTCCACCTGCAGGGGTGAATATATCATGATAAATATATATCTATGTGAACATGGAGACATAAATATGTCCTTAAATGTAATTGTGTATCATGTGTTTTATATATATGGTGGACAAGGTGGGATGATCGACCTCATCTCAAGTCGCTTAATCACAGGTTTTCATAGGCTGCATTCCGTAAAATTATCGCTAATGACATAGAGAATAGATAAATAGACCAATAGGACACACCGCGGCGGTTCCTGCGGCTGGTATTTTGTGACAAAATGACACATTTGTGTTGTGGTTTTATTCTTTGCATACAGAACGGTTTCCAGTCATTTGTGTTGTGGTTTTTCTTAACATACATAATAGTTTCCGGTTTATAAATAATCAAGAAAATTCTATAAATATATATCTGTACATATAACGTGTATGGAAATGGAGATTGTATTTAAATGTTGATAATCTTACTATTGATCTATACTATAAATGGTAATCAAAGAACTTATATAAAAATACATCATGTAAAAGTAGCAGTCGGATCGTGTCGACCCTCTTATGTGGTCAGGCGATTGTAGGTCTTAACTTAAGTAGCATTATTATATTTAGCAGCTGATCTCAATACAATTCACAAGGCGTGAACAAATGCAGTCCCGATGATTCAATGACGTTGAAACATTTAAATTCCGGAAATGAGGCTACCGACTTCCGATCTGTAGTGTATATTAATATCTATTCAAAATAGCCTTACACGTTTATTTCAGTATGATACTGAATGTTGCTGAACCGTACACAACAGAAGCTGAGAGTGTCAATAATCCGGGAACAATAGGACACGTTTATGGTTAAATACCCTCGGTTGGTTTTCTTTAACGGTGTTGGCCTAGATTGGGGTATTCTGAGCCCTCTCAGGACAAAGTATATGACATTTTAGGACAAACTACAATACAACATCGTGTACACACACACACACACACACACACACACACACACACACAT